TTTAAAAATCAGTTAACCTTTTTTTTTTTTTTTCAATGGCCCTAATCCTATTCCGTAGATCCCAGTTTCTGGATAAATGGCAGATTTTAGAAAGATCTGCACAAGAAAACTAGTTTAACCTTTTTTTTAAAAGCCACAGTTTCTAGGTCTAAAAAACATTTGTAAAACATGAATGTATTTTCTTTTCGGGGACGTTGATATTTGTGTAAAATGATTTTTGGTTTCTTTATCAGAAAACATTGTGTTGTTCTGCATCATTTAGTGCCTCAGTTTGCAGACTGCTGAGCTGTAAAGTGACTTTACTCAGCATAGAAAACTCATTTTCTCTATGATCAGCTGTCAAAGCTCAGCCTGAGCTTGGTTCCTGATTCACCTTTCCTTAAGCCACTCCCGCTGCTACATACCTCAGGTCATGTGGCCGACATTGCTTTCGTTTTCAGGTGACTCTTTCTCTACGAGGCGAGCAGAAAAAAACGACAAAAAACAAGGATATTTGCCAGAGTTCATGGAAGGGGAGGAGTTTCTGTAACTCTTAGGACTAAAGGAGGAAGACCTGCTGCTCTGGTCATCGGAGGGAGGAGCAGACTAGGAATGCAAAGACAGGTCGGCTCATTTAACCTGTTTGTGCTCAGCCTGTGGAAAAGTAGAGACAAATGAAGTGAAACAGACGTAAGAGCAGGTGAACTTCGCCCCGTGGAAGGTAAAAGAGCTGAGTCACTCAGACAGGAAGAGGAGCGTACAGGTAACCTCAGCTGCTCTTATAGGACGGCTGTTTGGATTGTTTCTTTCTCCACTCTCAGGTCTGCTCTTGTGTTTGTTGAGTTGAATGAATGCCGCAGCATCAACAGGGTCCTGAAGTTACCTCTTTCTCATTTAGCAGGTCTGTTCCAGGCCTCAGGCAGACTGGCTCAGACTGAAGTGCAGTGATGCATCTGTACGGTCAAAGTTTCCCTGTATGTTGAGAAAGTGGTGGATCCACCAGTTTCTCTTGTTCAGAGCAGTTTCCCCTGTGTACTAAATGCCTTATGTATGTCTAATAGCTCGAGAAGATATGTAAAAACTGTTGGGTTATATTGTTGATCTTTCCTGGGATCAAGGTTTGGTTGATTACGCTCAGATGCACAGACAGATAATGTCTCAGCAGCTTTTTCCTTCTTTTGAGCCCTGGAGAGAAATGTTTCTCACATGGATTCTCATCCAACCTTGATCATAGTATATGAGCCCACTTCTTTTCTGGACATAACTTGCTTCCAATCAAGCATAGGATAATTAATCCACTGGTTTTTCAGTGTTTACTTGTTTATCATCCTCCAAAGATCCAATTCATCGAAATAAAATGTTAAATCAGCTTATCTTTGGCAGAATTTAGGGCGACAAAGGCACGAAACCACCAAACACACCTTGTTTTCTGTGATGCAGTAATCCCCCCCCCCCCGTTAGCATTGTTTTTAGCAAATTTTTAGACAGGCCTTCAGCATCATGAATCAAAACTTGATTTATGCTTGATGCGACCGTGAGTTTGTAAGTTTGGGCTCAACATAACACGCAATATATTACACCAAACACTACAAAAACGACCGCATCATCAGTTTAATCAAAAATAAGTACTGTAATTTTCAGACTATTAGCCGTGACTTTTTCCCCATTTTTCGACCTTGCGGTTTATATAACAATGCGGCTTATCTATGGACTTTTACAGCCAACGGCCACTAGGGTAATACCTAAATCTATGGATTTTACCATGTTGACGTCACACATTTGCTTCACCACACAAGTACGGTAGCCGCAGGCGGGAATGCAGAGGTCCTCCGGAAGCAGACTTCTACAGCAAGTGGTACGAGACAGAACGACGGCGAGAAAGACGGACATTGCGAGCGCAAGACAGTTTGTGTCAACCATAAAAACCTGCGGCTTAT